TTGTGGAAGAGCAGAGCCAAGAAATGACCCTCGAAGAGCTTATGGAGTTGCATTGTGTTTCACAGCAAGACGTTTTGGAGGAAAGTTTGTCAGAGAAAGAGGAGGAGAAGGTAACATAAAAGCAACAATCTTCTGGCGAAATAAGAAAAAATGCTGAAAGCATGGGAAACTGTTGCTTCTCACATTGAGAAGCATCACCCCAATAGGGAAGTGGCTATGCGCGCTGCAAATTTATTTATAGCATTTTCACCAAATTTTAAAGCGTCGACAAAACAAATGTCTCTGGAGATCTTTCTAGTAAAAAAATAATTAGCTATGTATCATAATTATTTCGACTTTTTTTCCCCTGCAAATCGGATTCGCATTCTATGTGGGTTCGTTCCGCGTTTGAAGAAAAGATGAAGATGATTCACTCTCCTTAAATATGTATATAATTTTCTTTGAATACATGTTATAGTTTAACTTATACATAGCATTTTGTGAGTATTTTTTTCGACATGGAACGCATTATCATATTTTACATTAATTTATATGAGGAAAATTGCTTCGCATAACGAGTGTTTCGCTTAACGAGTATGATTCTGGAACGAATTAAGCTCGTTAAGCGAGGTTCCACTGTATTATCTTTGAATTCTCTGTCAAGGTTGTTTTTTTTCCTGTTGTAGTTCTGCTTCTATATTTATAATGTGGGATTCATCAGTCACGAATATCTTTAAAACTTTAATTAACTGTTGTTGTTATTCTTATACTATGCCACTTGCAGTGGTTGATTGACACAGCAAGAAAACACACAAACACAATGGTAAATAAAGTCAAGGAGACCAGCAGTAAGTTTAACAGGCAGATTTGTGCCCACTATGATACCATTGTCAAGAAAAGTTCATACCAGGCAAAAGACACACAGGAGCTTGTCCAGCTGCAAGACTATGTGGAGAGTCTTAGAGTTGGGGAGTTGCTTCGTCTGAGGGTGAGTTGTGCAGCATGATTGAATCTTCATCATAAATGATAAACATGCCTCATTGATGTGGTTGTCTCCCTGCGCACCTTTATGTACATTTATATACAGATGATGCTATTATATTCACAGATTGATCATTATTCACCACAAACAGTTTTGGCTGTTATCTGCAAGAACAAAAAGAAAATCAGTAAGGAAGCCAGCAGAGTATTTTCTGCAACCACTCACAATTTGATCATGAAGATCTTGTGTATAACAAAGACTCTAAACTGGCTACGGACACAAGAATTCACATTTGTAGATTTTCTGAGTGACTCCGTGAATATGGTAAATAAGATCAAAGCTGAATCCATGCAAAAAGAGTGGGATCAATCATTACAAAAAGCAAGGTTTCATATCGTCACATTCACATTTGTCTCAGGAAATTTCGGTGTGAAAGGCAGTGAGACGGTGGATGCCCTTGCAGGCAACGTCACCTTATGAAGTGGACCTTCTATGGACATAATGTACATAATGGACATAGTTAATTATGTATGATAGACAATGCATGTTGAATACGTACAATAATAGGTTAGTGATTTTTTTCTCTTGACTTGGATGCAAAGTCTAGATTTGGCAAAAGGAATAGCATGACATGATAACCATAAGAGAGCTCACATTTATGACAATCTCAGTCTGAAACAGGAGTAACTGGTGTAAACACACTCAGGGAAAGATATAAAACTGAACAAAAAGTATATCAGCGAGCTTCACAATATAACAAACACAAACAAAACGTGAAAGTTACGGCTATGAAGCCTTCTTTAACACATATGTAGACAATACTACACAAATACACAATATCACTTATCATTGTATCTGGAGGCAGCCAGGTCGATGTCAAGACAATAGTCTGGCAAAGCGCGTGGGGCCGGGAAAAAATACCCCTGGATATGCCAGGGGTCGTCACTTGAGAATAAGATGAAACTGTGTAGGCAGTTCAGCCTCCTACGATTTAGATGAAGTTGTGTTGGCAGTTTAGTCCATTAAATGCAAAAGTTCCCAAAGTGTATATCAAGCAATTTTCAAGTGACAGTGAACTCGCTGGAGTGGCTAGATTAAATGGCTGTAACCTCCAAGTGGTGGACACCTTGGTGGTCCTGGAAATTGAAATGCAGTAGGAACACACTCCAAAACATGCTTTGGAGAATATCTGAATATCTGTGGCTGATGTGGCATGAAGATGATCTTAAAATGAATAATAATCATTATCTCTGTCCTTCTTTTATAACTAATAAAGGTTAGTTGCTTATCCTTTACAGGACGTTGCAGAACCAACCCCAACAGCCCCTGGCTGTTGTGTGGTTTTTCTAGGCAAATTTACGTCCAGTAGTTTTTTATAACTTATACAGAGTGAAATAATGGAAAGAACCTGTGTTTTGTTGTTGTTGTTGTGTTGGGATACAAAAATATTAACGCCATTGCTGTTTAGAAAGTAAAGGTCCATTTTCTAACCCTTTAGAATTACTGAGTATAGTGCTAGCTGTATATTTTTAAAGACCAACTGGCACATCATGAGGGATCAGCTGTATACTTTATTACTCTTACAAATCTTATTACACTACTCATATTTTACACTACATACATTGTTGTAAACATTATTTTTACTTGCAAATCTTGTTTACTACCTACGTCGTTGCAAACTTTCAGAATTAGCGGTAAACTTTATTTTTCTTGCAAGTTTTTTTTTAACACTACTCATATGTTACACTGCATGCATTGTTGCAGACTTTCAGGATCAGCTGTACACTTTATTTTTCTTGCAAATCTTATTACACTACGCATTTGTTACACTACATACGTTGTTGCAGACTTTCAGGATCAGCTGTACACTTTATTTTTCTTGCAAATCTTATTACACTATGCATTTGTTACACTACATACGTTGTTGCAGACTTTCAGGATCAGCTGTACACTTTATTTTTCTTGCAAATCTTATTACACTATGCATTTGTTACACTACATACGTTGTTGCAGACTTTCAGGATCAGCTGTACACTTTATTTTTCTTGCAAATCTTATTACACTATGCATTTGTTACACTACATACGTTGTTGCAGACTTTCAGGATCAGCTGTACACTTTATTTTTCTTGCAAATCTTATTACACTACGCATTTGTTACACTACATGCCATGTTTGCTCACTGGCAGGATCAACTGGAGGAAGCAGCCAGTAATGTGCTGTTTCTCATGGAATATGCATACCTGCCTAAAGAGGACATCGCTGTAAACAATGCTGCATTCAATTGGCCAGGCAGAATTGTGCCTCTTGTCATAAATGCGTAAGTCTAGTTACTGTAGCTGAACTTATGAACCTTTCCAGACTTGATTTGTTGTTGGTTTGTTTTCTGTCTTCCCCTTTTAAAAGAGTATTTGGCATTTTAAATGTAGTTTACAGCTTGGTTATGAAATCATGGCAGTCACGGTTGCATAGAGGCTAAAATCTCGCTGCTTGTCTGAGGTCTTAGGTCAACTCTGCATCGACTTGGATTAAAAAAAATTTTTTTTTAGAACCTTGACTTCCAGGTTGACTGAATATTAAATTGGTACCAGGTGATGTCCTGGGAAATACTCAACAGGTGATGTAGGGAAGAGAATCCTGCTCTCATCGGTGAAAATTCAGACGAAGCAGATGCAATAATCTATACAGACGGATCCGTTATACGCCAAAGAAGAAGCACATGGGCATTTACAGCACGCTCAGCGGGCAGAACAGTCAAAGAAGCCAACGGCGCTTTCTCCATGACAACCAGCAGCATGACAATGGAGGTGATGGCAGTGACGCAAGCGCTTGCCTGGCTTGAAACACAAAAATACACCCGCGTGTGTATACTCAGTGATTCAATGAGTATGATCCGGAGGGTTCAGGCAGGTTCAGTGCGAAGACAATGGCTTGAATCATTACAGAAGTCCACTGTGCGTGGAGTCACCTTTATTTTTGTTCCGGGACACGCAGGCGTCGATGGAAATGAAAGAGCTGACAGGTTGGCTGGATCCGCTATCACTACCGACAGTCAGCCTATGGATCATGCTGATATTATCAATGCCCTCAGAGAAATGGGAAGGATAGAGGACTTTGGTGGCAGTGAATCCACATCACTCGCCAGAATGGCAGACTTGGGAATTAAGATCGGCACAGCAAAAAACGAGACGCACACCAGACACGCCAGAAGACTTGTTAATCAACATAGAAGTGGTACTATTAGCCATCAGACGTTGGGGTTCATACTGAGGGGAGGATCGGAGCACCTATGGACATGTCCGGAGTGCAATGAGGATAACCCAACTAACTAACTAACTAAAGACAGCTAGCATCAAGTTGAAATGGTTTGCCCACTTAGAGAGAATGCCTTGTGAAACCATACCATACAAAGCATACATGAAAAGAGTTGAATGGACGTAGAGCACGAGGTAGACCAAGAACAAGATGGAAGGATAACATCAGAGAAACTCTACAACAGCACGATGTGCCTATGGTCGAGGCGGCCAGAAAAGCTAGAAACAGAACCTTATATCTCCCTTGACACCCACAGCGGTAAAAGAGGAAGTGAAGAAGAAGAAGAAGAAGCATCAAGTTGACCGCTTCACCCATTGAGTGCTGATTAGTCTATCAAAATATGAATCTGCATCATTGTTCATTTAAAGATCGTCTTCATGTCTGTCTATATTCATTTGACCTATGCTTGGTTATATTAAATCTCTGTAACTTATGGTGCTATGTCAGTAGTTAAACACATTCTGTCGATATTCCATAGTTGTGGGTTTAAGGTTTGACGCAACTGGCTAATGGTAACAGCTTTTTCTAAGAAAGTTGAGCTGGTCATGCATCTTAGGTGAACTTGTTCCAGCAACAAAGTGCTTTTGTCATTAGGAGTTGGCAAGTTCGATTCCCAGTATCTGTCTGTAGCTTTCAATTTTTTTTTTGTCTATTGCATCCTTCTACCTCTCTGCTCCTCTTCTGTGAGAGCTGATCATTACATATCAGTTTGTTATTATACGCAGAGAGAACAAGCTGCAGAAGGAACATGACATAGCAGTCTACAAACTAAAAGAACACAAGAAGCTGTTTGAATGCACACTTGAAGAGTACCAGAAGAAGATTAAAGAATTTAACACTAAAGATCGTATTTCTGAGGCAGACAAGTATGTCTCAGAGCTTGAAGATATATCACAGAAAATTGATGATTTCAGAAAACAGGTTGGTGAAGGTTTTATCTTTAAAAAAATGTTAGCTTTATTCAGTGTTGCTGTGACAGTATGACTAATTTGTTCAACACTGGTTGATTATCTATCTGATTTGAAACATTGTGCATTGTTTTTATTTAATGCTATTGCCCAGAGAAAACTGTTTCCCAGCTTTTATTGTGTTTTTTTAATGACTTGAAGTCTTTGGGGAGTGGCCACTTCATCTATATAACAGCTTTATTATTGGTTGTATTTGCATAATGCATAGACTTGGTAGGTATGACCATTTAAAGAAAAAAAAAAGGAAATATAATTGAGATATTACTAGAGGTGAAAAAAAAAAGTATTTTGAAACCGATGTCATCATGAAGTCATAATATATTTATAATGATGTCACTTTGTCGTTTTCATGGTCAAAGGGAAATAAAGTGGTTAATTCTGTGCTTTTTTCATTTTTAGCGATTACTTTCCTTCACATACAAAATTGATCTTTACTCTTTACCCAGAATAGTAACCTGAAGTGGGTAAAGTCTAATTCTGTGCTTTTTCTTTACTGAGTGATTACTTTCCTACACATGTGAAAAATTATCTTTACCCAAAATAGTAACCTGAAATGGGTAAAAATAAACATAAATTAATTTTTGTTCTTGGTGAAAAAGCTGTTATTTATGCTTACCTATCGGCATTGTGGTCTATGGGTTTGACCCAGATTAATTTAATTGAAATAAAAACTGACGCTATATTTTTTCTGTTTCTTTTCTTCTAGTTAGAGCAGAGTAGAGAATGATAAAGATGCAAGATGCATTTATAAAATTAAATTTGGAGAAAGGTAGTTTCCCTAGATTCTTACAAGGCAAAAGGATTACATTGTTGTTTATTGCATAGACATCTGCTGCATAGTAATCTGAAAGATCTGAGAGGAGACCGGTTGAAAAGAGGAAAGTCATGGATTGCACTAACTTATATGCCATCTAGACAACATCCTCGGTCAATCAAATACACAAGAGGCAGGAATGGGTCAACCTAAATACCTGCAACAGCAGTTTCCATCAGGTCATTATCAAATTAGGAAGAGAATGTAGAGAGTGGTGGGACGGTATGTCAGAATAAGAGGTACAACAACTTCTTCTTCTTCTTCTCTTTGACCAATTACCTCAGCGAGGTGATGGGGTGAGATGTAAGGGTCATTTGTGCGCTTTTTCCAATGCATTGTACAAGTTGGTGTTAATTTCTGTTAGGTTTCTCCTAATGATGTTGCTCCATCTCTTACATGGTCTTCCCCTTGCTCTGTGTTCATTATATTTCTTCAGCGTGGCTCTCTGTGGCAGTTGGTACTAGGGCATTCTCGTCAGGTGACCAAACCAGATGAAAATGCTGGGCTAGATGATGTCATGTACACTGATGGTTGTGTTCATTAGGGTGTAAGGTCTGGCTGGGATTTTCGAAGGGAAAGAAGGGAAAGATTGTGACAGAACTGAATGGTGCTTTTTTTTTTTGGTCTTCATCTTCAAGCATGAGGATGGAGGCAGAGGCAATGATTGTAGCTCTGAAGTGCATACTAGAAAATAAAGTTACCACAGGAATTGTTATGTTCTCAGTTGGTACTGCTGAAGGTTCAAAATGGACAAATAGGACATGAGTGGATACCAAGTATTAATACGTCAGCATTGCAGAGAATCATGTGGATATACTATTCTGAATATGCAGGAGTGCGAGAGAATGAAAGAGCAGAATTTCTGGCTACAAAAGTGATAGCTATGAGAATACTGATACTGGACAAGGAGAGATTGTAAAAAAACCTTTTATGAACGAATGTTGATAGAAGACATGAGGTTAGATGAAATAACATATTTAAGAATGTGTGAATAAAGAATGAGGAGTGGATCTGGCAAGGATGGGAATGTGAAAAGAAGAGAGTGATGTGTTTGTGATCAGTGTGCTATGGAAACAGTTTGCATCTACAGCTTAAGATAAGACATTTGCTGTGGGAGACAGAGCATCTATAGGTATGCCCAGTGATAACACATTTTTAAATCAGCAAATCAGTAAATTATTGGCTGCATATGCAGTTTCATGTTTTACTCATTTTTAAAATATCTTTTCACAACAGAACTCAGATAATATAGTAGTTAGTGGAAGTTTTGAAATAAAAAGTTACGGACCCATTTTATGACATTGACACATGAGGCATATGATGGTTGACATATTTTTACTCAGTAGGTTATGTTGTCAACAAAAGGTCGGCCACCTTTACTTTCCATGACATTACCTGATACAATTTTAGGTTGGGTTTACCTGGCAGTCAAGACTTTTGAAAAAAAAAGGCTGTCAAGAATCCTCTCTCATTGTCTTCCCCTTGTCTCTCTTTCCACAGATCTTTCCAATGGTCAGAACATGTTCCTGTGTCCCTCTTCTCATAACATGGCCAAGAAATGATGACTGTCTGCCTCTTATGTTTGTGATTAGTTGTCTTCAGACTTTTGCTTCTTTCAAAGAGCCTGGATTACTCAGTTTTCCCCCACTTGGTTCTTGGGCCCTATTTGGAGGGAGAAAAGAATTGACATGCTGTCCCCCTCCATAGCACCCCAGCAAGCATGTCATAAAAGTCCACTGATTAGAGGCAAGAAGGCACTAGTCTGCACACAATAAAGCCAGATCTGTAAAACAGATGTGCATGCAAAACTTGAGTTCTTTGACAAGACTAAAGTCCAGAAGCAGATGAACAATCTATACTTTCTGCTGGAGTTTACGGTCAGTGAACATGAAGAAGAAAAGTAGAAGAAGAGTCATTCTACTCTCTAAAGAGTTTTCAGCATTCTTGTGATTTTCAGAGAGTCAAAATAAACCAAGAAGAACAGATGCTAGGGTTAGAAATGCAGACGGACTATCACCAGATTGATGAAATGGCAACTCGTAAGGAAATATTTGATAAACTCTGGTCTACAGTCGTTACGTTCCACGAAGCCCATGACACATGGATGAATGGTCCTTTGCTAGAAGTCAATGCTGAAGATGTTGAAGAACAGGTAGGATATGTAGAAGTGTTCATTTAAACAAAGATATCCTGTTCAACCCATCTGTGTTATAATGGGGATCTTCTTCTTCTTCTGATCTTCCACCTTGTAATGGGGATACAGTTGAATATTTTTTCAATATAGGATATTTATGTTTGTCAGTTACTTTTGCCTTTTGCATAGATTATGTAGTACCAGATTTTAGGAGTATAGATTGTAGGAATATAGATTGTTGAGTTTAACATTAAAAAAAAATTTTTTTTAGACATCATATTGTAAGGTCTGTCTGTGGAAATATTTAATAGTTATCTGGGATTAGCATTATTCTTTTTACAATATATTAATAGCTCATAGACAAACCCCTCTTTTTGTGATCTGTTATTGCAGAATGTGTTTTAACTGATGCCATATTTAAACTTTCATTTTCTGGTTCTACCCTTATTTATCTATGGAGTACAGGCATCTAACCAACAATATATACCACATGTGACTTGTCAAAAGTATCTACCATTGTGTGTATAGCTCGAATCAGTTGTTATATATATTATGTAATTATATGCATTTTACTATTAAAGGCACTCCCAGCTTTTAATAGTCATGATATACAATCGTGGATGAATTTTGTGAATTATTTTGAGAATTATGAGAATTGAGATTTAGAGAAATATTTAAATTTGTGTATCCATTAAATTATATGATCAACTATTTTCATTCTTTTAGCACATTAATTTTAAGTAAAAGCTTTTTTTAGAAAACGTTTTTAAATATATATAATTTTTTTTCAAATACAATGTTTAAATATAATAAATGAACTATCTGTTTTGTTAAGTCTTACTAACAACATGCAATTTTATTTTAAGGTTCAAAATCTGTGGAAAACAGTATACAAATTGACTGTAGTGTTTGCCCATCCAGACTTCAAAGGTCCCTTGAGAGTTGTGAAAACAATCAAAGCCAAACTTGAAAGGTTTAAGATTAACATGCCTCTCATTACTGTCTTGTGTAATCCTGGCATCAAGGAGAGGCACTGGGCATTGATGAGTGAAAAGGTTTGTTTTGATTATAATATTGTATTATTTATTACACTTTGCTCCATCAATTCCATGCGGCTTTGCAGCACATGTGCAAAGAAAGTATATAAAAACACTATGAAAAATAATAAGTGAATTATTTGTGATAAGGCTAAATAAAAAGTGGAATAGTCATTTTGGAAGGCCACAATTTCATTGTTTACAGCCTTCATGTTTGTCTGAGTTATCCTGCATATTCTCTGTGTTATATCTTTGTCACTGAATCCCTATAATTACATCTTTGTACTTGTTTTAGTATTGCTTTTTTTCTTTTTAAAAACACTTTCACTATGCACTCTATGTATTCCCCCCCCCCCTCCCCCACCTTGTACTTTCTGCTTGAATTCTGCTTGAATCACTTGGTATAGAGTTCAGACCTAACATCCCCCATTTGTGCCAGTGGCTTCTGATTGGGGAATTGGGGAAGATACTAATTCTATCCTAGGACAAGGAAGTGCAACTTAAGCACCTAATGTACAGATTAGTCCCTTAGTTTTGGTTGGCAGCTGGTTTATCAGGGAATCTCTGACAGGTGGACAGAGCACTGCTCTTCTCATCTAGCAGCTTCTGCAACATGCTTTGTTCCCAAAATATTATTGTTACCTTTCTTTTGGTGTAAACTAGGCAGTCTCTGGGGAGGAACATACAGCATAGGCAGCACGTCGCTTCTGCTAAAGCGCTTAGGCTGTGTGCTACAGAAGGAACTTTAGCACTGGCTTTAATTGGTATCACACTGTTATTCCTATGCCTAAATGGAACATTATCATCTGGAAAGATAAAGATGTGACAAGAAATTACTAACAGCCATAGAGTTAGTCAAAATAATATCAAGTAATTATTTAATGAGTGATGAATTGCTTGAATAGAATAAGTCAAGAAAATATAAAGTGGTAATTTAGTGAATCACGAGCAGTTGGTACAGAAGTTAT